TTTTAATGATTCAATTGTTGAATTTTGAAGTTTCTAATGTATAGATCAAATTTATAATTTTTTAAAAAATTTAAAAATTATTTAATATTTTATTTTATTAATTCAAATTGATAGATAAGCATAACATCGTTTTATACGTTGATTTGAATTAATGAAACGAAGTATTAAATTATTTTTAAATTTTTAAAAAATTTGTTGATTTGATCTATATATTAAGAACTTTAAATTCAATCATTGGATCGTTGAAATTTGATGTAAAACATGAGTTACGGAAAGGAATAAGTCTAAATAGACTTACTTTTAGAGTTAATAGGTCATTCATCTCCCTCTTCCTCTCTATATAATATAATATGGGATGTTTCAAATAAAAAAGCAAACTAAACAATTATAAACAAAATTATCACATAATGCCATTATTATAGTTGTCTTTGGCATAAGCATTATCACAACTATCGTCATTATCATTTTTGTTGTCACAATTATCATCATCATTACTACTACTTTCGACACCCTTTTTAACCACTTCTGTTGCTATCATCGCTGTCAACGGTGGTTACAATAACAGTGGCAAAAATGGTGGCAAAGGTGATGATAACAATGATAAAGGTGTCATCAATGACGACGATAATTATGATTGTTGAAGTATTTAGTGATGATATTGTAATTGAATTATCCAAATAATTGTAACTATAATATCTTATTATATATTTTTTATAATATTTATCCCTGTCTTTTAGATATTTTTTTAATATTTATCCTTTTCGTTTCGATATATATATATATATCTTGTATAGCAAATATTTTGAACTAGAAAATTAGTTATCTTAAAAAAAATATTAGTTACAATTATTTGAATAATTAATTGCATCACAACATCTAAACTAATTATTTCAACAATGATGATGATTATGATAATGACAAATATGATAATGATGGTACATGATAATATTGTTTATAACCTTTTAATTTGAGTTGTTTATTTTACTCTAATGATTATTATTAATAGTTCTCATTTCATTTTATTATATTAAAAGTTTATTGTTTAAAACATTTCACACAAGAGAGAGTCGAGATTCATTGACATCAGGTGTAGGTTTAAACACTTATATCAAATTGTATACCTTCAATAACTTTTTGTATAATGAAAACTTAATTGATCCAATCATTGAATTATGTGATATCATACTCAAGATTAAGTATATCAAATTTCACATGATTTCAAAATTATTTAGTAGTTCATCACGTTGATTTATTTTAACACATAATATAATACTTAAAATATGTGTAAATATCTAATTTTAGATAACATATCTATAAAAGTTCAATTCATGTGAAACTTAATATACATGATATTGAGTATAACATCACATAATAATTAAATAAGTTAAATTTGTATTATACAAAAAGTTATTAAAAGTATAAAATTTGGTATATGTTTTTAGACTTGCTTTTGGTGTTAACAAATATTGATTCATACATACACATAAATATGAGGAGGGACTAAATTACTTCAAGAGTAACTCTTGGCAAAGTTACTTCACTCAGTAACTTATAGTGTATGTTGAATTTTAATGATCTAACCGTTAAAATAAAAGTTATTAATGTATAAATCAAGTTTACAAATTTTTAAAGAAAATTGAAAACTACCTTATACTTTATTTCATTAATTCAAATTAATGGATACTCATAAAAGTATTTTACACATCAATTTGAATTAAGGATGACATAATTGAACTCAACCTATGTGTTGCCTTGTTGGCACACCAAAAAATGACGGATCGAGTTAGACATCCTAACTTGCCAACCTATTGGACCAAATGGCGGGTCAAGATGGATTAACCTAACAACCCACCTATTTTATTTTTTTAATGTTAAGTTTGAATAATTTGATTTGTTTTATTATACATAATTTGAGCTTTTTTTGCGTAACAAACATGTTGGAAGAGTTATTATTATTATGATGATATATGTTTTATCATGTAACAAATTTAAAAATTTGTTTGCAACAAATCAAACCAAACCTATTGTAAATTGAGATTTATTTTATTATTTAGGTATACTAATTTATATAAGTCCTTTAGATATAAAAAAAAATGTTAAAAGAGGTACCAACAATAAATATGCATTTTCTCCCTTTTTTTCCTTATTTTTTTGGCAAATTGGCTCGTCAGTCCACCAACCCACTCTTAGGCGGGACAAGTTAGGGTGTCCAACCCATTTTTGGTGGGTTGGTGATGAAGTGAGGCTAAGTTGAAATTGAAGGGAATTTTAGGGGAAAAAAATGGTGGGTCCCACATGGTAAAAAATTAACCTAAAAATGAGGGAATTGATGTGGATTTTGATCAAAAGACAATACTAGTATTTTGTATTTTCGTCTTGTATTACCCTAGTGTGAAAATCAAACTACTTGATATGCATTTGACAAGTATACCAATTATTATGGGTAATAAATTGAACAGAAGTTCAAGTTGTTAAATCCATAGAGACTTGAGTTGTAATTGTTAATTTTAATTCTAGGACTAAACAAATGGATTAAAGAAATTTAAAATTATTTAACATGAAATGTAAGAAATTTATAAAATTATGGAATGAAAAAGCATGTGACAGATAATGAAGAATTTAAATTTAGATAATAATAAGATCAATTAAAGATTGATTTCATTAACCTTTCTCATGTAAATCCTCCCCAATTTCCATTCAATATTAGAAATTATACAATCAATTCAATAACTCTCAAATATATTTAAATCCTAATTCCCTAGGTGAAAAACTCTAGGTTGTTTAAGGAAAATTTTAATTCCTTGGTAATTTTTGTTAAGCAATCTGTGTTAAGGTTAGGGACCTAAAATTTGACTAATAAGACTTATCCTTATTCTTAGGAATAAGTGTTATTAATATTTTACCTAAATTGTAATTCTAAAAGGGTTTTTGGACTTCGGTTAAAATTATAAAATCATACATTGACCAAAGTAAGCATTAAGTATAAAGTAAAAATAATTAACTGAACAAAAGCAATGTTTTAAATGTTAATAGGGAAGATTACGTTACATAAGTACAATAGTTACATCAATTCCTAACCGTAGAGATTTAGCCACTCATGACTAAGGATCACATAAGAAAAATGAAATCTTTGATCGACTTGTGATTACAAGAATGCTCTCACAAAAATTCTCTTTAATCTCTCTAAAATTGTGCTTGTAAAAGATATGATACAAAAACCTTCTAGAAACCTTATTTTATAACATTTTAATGGGCTTTGAGGTCATGTATGCTTACTTAGAGCACCCATGTAGCTTGCTCATGGGAGCTTTGAGCAAGCTTGCTCGATTCTCCAAAAGTGCTCTCTAACTTCACTTACACAAAGCTCTCTAGCAATCGCTCTGAGCGATTTTTACTTGCTCAAAGTGAGTAGCCTGCTAGCTTTAAGTGAGCTAAATCCATCTGTAGGGGGATGCTCTTTGAATTAGTTCACTCAAAGTGAGTTGTTGGGCGCTTTAAGCAAATTTGTCTTACTTAGAGCACTTAATTGGTTAATTTGGAGCAAACTTGAGTTGAATCTTCTGTAACATCAAGTTATTTTCTCTTTGTGTCTCAAAACTTTAATAAAGAAAACTATTAAAAATACTTAAGATTAAATAGCTTCATTCTTTAAATAAAATTAACTCTAATTGCATATTTATGGTAAAAAAAAAACAAGACTCTAAAGTATAAGATATATTTAATAATTATCTAAATTGGATAAAAAATATTGTGGACATATTTAACAATTATCACTAATGTGTGGGTATAATCAATTATGGCTCGTTTGACTTGGAACCATAACTGATTATGATGTGCATAGTCTTAACTTGGAACCATAATTGATTATAATATGCACAGTCGATTATGTATATTAGCATAATCAAATATTTACATCATAATTGGTTATGGTTCCATGTCAAACAAATTATATTTGATTATGCTTATATTTCATTATGTAAGATATGATATTCACTTGTCTTAATTGATATTTCATTATATGACTTTTGATATTTTCTTATCTTAGTTGATATTACATTATGTTGATATTATAGGTACTAGACACTTTCTATTCAACTATGAATTCCTCACCTTATTGGACATCATGCTCCAATATGTTATAGTTGTAATGTATTATGTGCATAAAACCGTAGCAGTACACGTGAATAAATATAAGGGTAAAATGATAGTTTTATATATTATTTATTTATACATAAAAATGTAACTCAATAAAATACATTTTTAAGATAATAATTTATATTTATTTCTTACCTAATTTCACTCTATTAATCAATTACTTTTTTATTTTATTTCTTACCTATTTTTTATCAAATCAATTGTCTCATATTCCATTCATTCCCTTCTACTACTAAGTATAATGTAAGAATAGAATCTATAAACTCGTATATATTACTCTAAACTTTTACCATTAGACTGCAATAGTAGTTTAGGATTTTTTAGCACAAATGAGATTGTGATATAGGCATGGCAACAGGATGGGGCAAGGGCGGGTTTTATGTTCTCTGCCCCCGATACCCGCTAAGGGTAAAATCTGGGTACCCATTCCTGCTCTAGGCAGGTCGCCCCGCCCTCGCCCCCGCCCCCACTCTTATTTTTTTATTCTTTTTTTCTCTTAAATAAATATGAATAATTTTTTTTTAAAAAGAAGTAAAATAATATAAATTTTTACATATAAATATTTCTAATTTTGATTTATATATATATAAATATTTTTTAATCATATTATTAAGCGGGACAGGGGCTCCCCGCCCCGTCTCCAATCAATTAGAGAAAACTCGGATCCGATAAACACGAATTTTTCCGTCCAAATTGAGATGAGTTCGAGCGGATATTCACGAGAGCGGATTAGATTGTCTTAGCTACTGTGATACCCACGCAAGCATGTCCAGGGCTGGTTAAGTATTTCAATACTATTGGGCCTTTTAATCCAGAAGGTTACCGAGTCAAACTAGCCTTGTGGCCCATTGATTCTGATGGAAACGAAAGAAAAAATGAAAAATGGTGTGGTGCTTGCATAACGCAGAATTCATTCACTTGCAACTTCCAAGAAGACTGCGGCATTGCGTATCCTTATTGGCTACATTCCCCGTTTTTAATTGATTGGTCGCACTCAGCACTCAGCAGTCTTACTCTTCGCCACCCCTCACTCAAATTGAAGAATGGCGTTGTACGCACTGTCGCGTCGTTTATCAGCTGGATCCAACTCAACGACGCTCCTCGCCTTGCGTTTTGCTTCCTCTTCCAGATCCTACTCCTCTTCTTTCAGGGAAGAAAGAGATACCTTCGGACCCATTCAAGTTCCCTCCGACAAGTTCCTTCTTCTTTTCCTATTCCATTTCCTTTTTTTCTTTTTCCTTCTTTTTTTAATTATTTATCTGACTGTGTTGCGTTTGTGTGCTGTTAGATTATGGGGAGCACAAACTCAAAGATCTTTACAAAACTTCGATATCGGTGGCCCCCGCGAACGCATGCCCGAACCAATCATTCGCGCCTTCGGCATCTTGAAGAAATGCGCTGCGAAGGTTCGATCAATATTTTCACATTTTCTAACTTTTTGTTAGGTATTTTTATTTTGCTTGTGGATTTCAACGTGATTTGCCTTTTAATTATTGTGCTATCCTCTTTCGATCGATCAATCGTTGTTTGAATGCAGGTGAACATGGAGTATGGTCTTGATCCCGACGTTGGAAAAGCGATAATGCAAGCAGCACAAGAAGTAGCTGAGGGAAAACTAAACGAACATTTTCCTCTTGTTGTATGGCAAACTGGAAGTGGCACTCAAAGTAACATGAATGCTAACGAGGTTAGTTCTTGCTATTATTATTTGTGCGCTGCACTAAACCTCAAGGTTCTGCATTCAAATGTATTACAGCACACATTTTAAGGAAACTAGATTAGTGTACTTATGATAAAAAAAAATATTCATCTCCATTGTATTTTTAAGACTTGAGAATCCATTTTGTTTATTCCACGAATTATTTCTGAAGTAATAGGTTCCTAGTTTCTGTTTTTGTTCACTGTGAGGATACTCTGACTTACATAATCCTTTTGTCCGATCGCACGACAGTGACCTATTGTAAAAAAGAATGTTTTTTCTGAACTTTTCAGGTTATTGCAAATAGAGCAGCAGAGATTCTTGGTCATAAGCGTGGTGAGAAGTTTGTACACCCAAATGATCATGTCAATAGATCACAGTCTTCTAATGATACATTCCCAACTGTAAGTCTCTTATAATGATAGGTTCCCTAATTTCGTGTGGAATTGGCTCTCTATCTATGGAGGGCGATTCCTGATAAACTGTTTCTTGTATTTTGTTTGCCTACGGTTCTGATTTTGTTTAATATATTGATTTCTTTTTAATTTGTATTTGTTTACTTCTTTTCAGGTAATGCACATTGCAGCTGCAATGGAAATAAACTCAAGACTAATCCCCAGCTTGAAAATCTTACATGGCACACTGAACTCAAAGGTTTGAATTCTAGTTCATACTTTTAGACTAGTTATAGCATGTTGGATAGATTACAGTCCCCCTCCTGCCATCTTGTGAGTCGTACCATCCTGGTTAGAGGGGAGTTTGAGTGACTTGTATTATACAGTACCTGACGTGTTTTTCTGTGCTACATTGAAATCTGTGATAGAAATGTGAAATTCAGGTGAATTAATATGTTCTTCAGTATTTATCTGTTTATCTTATGGTTATGGGCTTCTGACTAATTTATCAGTACTAATACTGTCAAGTGTCAACACAGGGCTCCCTTGATTGTATTATTGCATGCTAAAATTTTCTAGTCCTCTAAGATTGTGATTTTCTCTGGCTCTTTATCTCAGTTTTCCTTTTGGGCTATTAAGTATGCAGTTTGCATTTGCAAATAACTAATCAGTTGTTATGACTGAAAGCACGTCACAAACCTATTAATTTTGATAAAATATGTGGCCTCTAAGATGGGTTTCTATCACTTAAGGCACTTGGCTTTGAAATTGTTTTCCTTTTTAATAATTTTTATCATTTTTTTCTGATATTTTTTTCAAATACCAGTCAATTGAATTCAAAGATATTGTCAAGATTGGACGCACTCATACTCAAGATGCAACACCTTTGACTCTTGGACAAGAGTTTAGTGGGTATACTATACAAGTAAGCTTGCCTATGTTTGGCTTATGCTGTTTTGTATTTTCCATATAATTTGTGTTGCATTGAAATCCTGACAGTTCTTGGGGAGTAATTTCTCATTACTTTTTCCTTTATCTGCAGGTGAAGTATGGTATTGATCGTGTAATTGGTACTTTGCCGCGTATGTATCAGGTTAGACACTCAAAGTACAAATGTTAACTGCTAGTTCTTTACTATTTACTTGTGGACTTCGGACTAAGCAGATATGTCACTTGAACAGCTTGCCCAGGGTGGTACCGCTGTAGGGACTGGATTGAATACAAAGAGGGGGTACGTATTCTTTTTGATAGCTAAGTGGTGGTTCTTATAATTTCGTTTTGTAACATTTCAGTGTGTTGTTTTTATTTTTGCAAGTTGCTATTTGATGTCTACCAAAATTTATTTGATAGGATATTTCTTTTCATCCTGTTTGGCATATTATTCCATTTGTTATGAGATTTCCATCGACAATGGTCTATTTTCTTAATTTCATTCAAATACCAACAAAGGAATGGACATTGCTCGGACTGACCTGCATGCACATTTTCAACCATCATTGACTTCAATTTATTATGGATGTAATTGTTGAAAATTAATTTTCTCTACACTCGAGATCTTATGGGTGCGTAAGTTTGTTTTATTATGAAAAATATCACAAGCCTGACTTTTTAGACCGAAGTAAATATGTGCTTTAACTATTTAAAGAAATAAATTTGGATAAACAGTGATTACTTTCTGGATGAAATTCAGGTTTGATGCTAAGATAGCAGCAGCAGTAGCTGATGAAACAAATCTGCCTTTTGTTACGGCAGAAAATAAGTTTGAGGCCTTGGTTTGTTACTAAAACTTTTTACGCTTGTATTTAATGTTTCATATGTTATTTCATTACATTAGCTTCTTTCACAAACTTGCTTTGCGTGTAGCAAAACTTTTGCTTGCAATGTGCTCATACTCTCCGTTTGCAGGCTGCCCATGATGCTTTTGTTGAAACTAGTGGAGCCCTTAACACTATTGCAGCTTCTTTGATGAAAATTGCTAATGATATACGGTTATTAGGAAGGTAGGTTGCTAATAATATGATACTGACTGACCAATTGCTATATTTATGTTCAATAGAAACTTATTCATATTCTTTTTTAATGCTATCCTATTATAGTGGTCCACGCTGCGGTCTTGGTGAACTCATTCTTCCTGAAAACGAACCAGGAAGCAGTATTATGCCTGTAAGATCCTCATGTTGACTGTGTTTATATTTGTTACACAAACCAGCTTTTTTCTCATTACTTGCTATTGTTCATTATTTTATTTGCCTTACAACTGGAATTTGATTCTAAGCCACAACCTTATTTTGTTTCAGGGGAAGGTTAACCCTACCCAGTGTGAGGCTTTGACAATGGTGTGTGCACAGGTAGACATCAACTCGCTTCATTTTATTAAAATAGTTTATTTTATATTATGACTAATGGAGTACTGATTAGCAAAAAGTTTGTGACATGTAATAAAGTCAAATTTTGAATTTTATGGTGACGCTGGCAATTTCTGAATTGGTGTCACAAATCACGAATTTCAGGTCATGGGGAACCATGTTGCAGTCACAGTGGGTGGATCAAATGGTCATTTTGAGCTCAATGTGTTCAAGCCAATGATTGCCAGTTCTCTCCTTCATGTATGTTATATATGTATATATATATATATATATATATATATATATATATATATCTTTGATGTTATGTTATTTCTAATTTATCAATCACGTAAAGTGGGACTTCTGATTAGCTTTTAATTTGGTTCAAATTTTTTATGCAATATTAGAACAGCTAAAAGCTTAGTTAGAGAGTATTTTCGCTCTTAGAATAATATTATCAAAGGGTAACTGAATTCTTTTCTGTATACTAAATTACTAATACCTGGACTTTTGGACTGGTCCAAGCACACATGGTGCATAGAAACAGAGATTGTTCAAGCAGCACTAAGCTTAGTATATGGGAGCAGAAGTTACTTTCTATACTGTTCCTCTGTCAGTTTGCATCTGAAAATGTATGATACAAGTCAGGTGGACTTGGCTGCAAAGTTAGATGCTTTTTGCTATGCCAGTAAAATAGGAAATGGTGATGGAAGATACTTGCATACCATTATGTTTTATGATTTATTTTTCTATGCTGCTTATGTGTCTGTCGTGACGACATGGTATATGGTAATGGCCCAGAAAAAGAAGATAAAAGGCTGGGGTGTGTGCAATGCCATATAAAGATACCACGTTGCGTTATTCCAAAATTTTGCAATATGAAATAGCATACCCTACTGCATTACCTAAAAGGTGTACTTGAATGCTTAATCTTTATTTTGATTCTGATAGTCGCTGAGACTGCTAGGAGATTCATCTGCTTCTTTTGAAAAGAATTGCGTGAGAGGTATTCAAGCTAATAGGGAAAGAATTTCAAAATTACTGCATGAGGTGAGTTGTTGGCTTATTTGAAACAAATCTCACATGATGTCAAATGTTAGATTTAGATCCTTATGCTAATTTACTGTGTTTCACTTTTAATTCGGCTTGCAGTCACTGATGCTCGTCACATCCTTGAACCCAGTAAGTTTCCTCTTATCTGCTCCTGTAACTTTCTAATTTTCACACTTTTGAAATTGAATTTAATTTGTCTGCTTCAGAAAATTGGTTATGACAAGGCAGCAGCAGTTGCCAAGACAGCCCACAAAGAGGGAACTACTCTAAAGGTGATAATGTCTTGTTATACTTGTTTTTTCTGCTTGTCTTGCATATTTTGACATCTTAATAAATTAAATTTTAGCATATTCTATGTAAGAATATTCTTGCAGAACCATTTTAACTCTTGTACTGATTTCTGTCATTAATAGTTGTGATGTTTATATGAATGAAATGATTCCCTATTAATAACTTCTGTGCTATTCGTGGATGTCCAATACATTTTGGCTGAATATCGAAATTGAAATGATTGTTTAGGAAGCTGCATTGAAACTCGGAGTGCTGAGCTCTGAAGAGTTCGACAAGCTTGTGGTACCTGAGAAAATGCTTGGACCAACCGATTGACTGGCTCGTATTGTTTTGTTCTAATAATCATTGTTTCATCATCGGCTACATTGAAGTAGGATTTTTTAGTCATACCCGTTGATTGGATTGAGAAATGGCAATCCAAAAACCAATAATTTTGACTTCCTCAATTGATATTCGAGAGGAAAGAGCTCTTCCAAATTTGTAACGAGGCAATGTATTGCAGAAATTTACTGACCCAAATAAAGGGAAATATTTATGTATTTCTACTGTTTTTTGGGTTGTCATTGTGTTGCTTAGTGTGTTTATTTATTAGTTTGAACCCTCATGCTTACTTTCCAATGCACTTCCAACTTGAATGCATATCACATTCAATGGAAGTAAACATATAATCAAACACTTTTAGGCGATGAATCTATGTCCTAGATATAGAAGGGGAGGAAAGGTAGTGGATGTTTAATAATCTTTCTATAGTTATAAACTAAAATTAAATCTTAGGTATGCAGCCTATTGACAAAATTTAGATAGTTTGTACGAGGTCAAAAATTTGGTCCTTGTCAATAATGTATACTAAATTCTTTTAGGTTGGTTGCCATTTTTATTTCCCGTTCAGGTAATGTGTTTTCTTAATAATGTAGAATAGAATGTCGGTTCCGGTTTTTCTCTAAATTTGGCATGGGGTCTATTCTAGTTTATACAAGCGGCTTAAATCTATACATTGACTGAAATACCCTTTAGTTTCAGTGCAGTTTTCTTTCTCTATTCTTATTTTTTTGATTATTATAATAGGGTTGAATTTGGATCATCTAATTTCAACCCTATATTGGACCACAAATTGCGTACTCAAATTTATTTAGTTTTATTTATTTAAAAAATATTTAGTTTTTTAGATTGATTCGAAACTAGAGTAAACCCCTCAATGCTGGGTTTATGACAGGTTCCTTATTTGAAAATGTTTCTTGGCCCATATGCTAATTTACATTTGGAAGGAAAATAAAAATTAAAGAGAAAATAGATAGATGTAGTAGGTATATGATGCGGTAAGAGTGAGATGCAGAAAAATAAAGGGTGGCAATGAAGAATTTGGAATTTGATTGTCTAACTATAATTATTCTTATTTGAATATACAATAGAAAGTTATGGCAGTGTCATGAAGTGTAGATTGTTGACATGATATTGCATCTCGAATCAAAACCGGCATCATGGCCTACCCTATACTGGTTAGGGAAGGGACAATGTTCAGATTATATTGGGTCAGAGGGTTATTACAATTTACAAGAGACAATTGAGTAATTGGCATCATCAAAATAGATTTACTTAATCTCTCATCACAATCTAATGCCTATAAATAAAGTAAACCATGCAATATGCAATCCTTTCCTGATTGAAACTTTGCTAAAATCCTCATCGGGTTGAGCATGGGTGTTCTTGAGGAACATCACCAACAACTCACCTCACCCACTCAAAACACCTACAAACATTACAAACCAACCCCACTAGCTCACAATAATGAAATATCCCAAAACTAACGAGAATCATTGGCACCATCTGGAGGGAAAGATAAACATAATTCATATTCGAAATCATCCTCCTCCCTCATTCATAAATAAGGATAGAAATAAGTGAAGTTAGATAAAGTCGACCTAATCTACATTATAAATCAAACGGGATATTTAAAAAAAAAAAAATATTAAGTCAATACTTTTATTAAAGTATATTTTATTAAAAAAAGAAAAAAGAAACTCAAGATCCTTTAAAAAGTCTTTTAAACCTAACATGTCGATTTATTTAAATTTAAATAAAATATTTTTTTAGTATTATTAATATTATATTAAATTTGTTAGAATATATTAAAAACATACATTTGTTTATTTTTTAAACGTTAAGTGTCTTGACTTACATAAAGAGACAAACTTGTAAGATGATTAGAAGATAATTTAATATTCTATTTAGAGACGAGGCTAAGGTGGTTCACCATGTTACATTATTTTTGTCCCGAAGACAGATTACTCAGGTGTAGCCTCCACATTGTATCCAAACAATTCATCTTCTCCCCATTACCAACCACCATGCCTAGTAGTCAGAATGCGCCTATTTATAGTGCATCATCACTGGAAACGATTTTCGACGATGTCACTACTTTTCCTCTTTTTTCCCTCTCTTTCTTCTTCTTCCCCTCTTTTGTGCTGATTTTTGTTTTATTGGTTTGACACAAAAAGGCAAGCAAGGGCAAATCGCATGCATGCAACGGCAGAGGCGGGTGAGTGTGGAACATGTTGCAGAGGTATCAGAGTGCAAAGCACAACATAAGGAAGGACCGAAGGAGGAATGCAAACTATGACGTGCCATGGTTGTCTCCCTCTTCTTCTTAAGAGACGCGCATGAATTCAAATCTAGCTCGATGTAATGGAGAGACACAATGACAAGGTGAATTTGGTGGCTCTGTGTGAGTGCAAACAAATTGAAGAATGGAAGCAAAGTGATTCGGTGTTGTTGCTGTCATTATCAGGGAGGGTGAGGGAGAGATAACGTTCATGTTTAGAATCTAAAAAGCCATGCAGTTGAGCTTCAGTGCAAAGGTTGGCGGAAGAAGATGAAGCAATCGTGAAAAAACAATAAAACAAGTACTAATGGTGCTTGTATTAAGATAGGAATAAGATGTATCTCGTGAATAAACTAAATGGTACATCTTAGACAACGAATAAAGTTGATCCCCTGTAGCATACATCCTATTTAGATATCTTATTGCAAATTACCTTTAAAATAAGTTAACATCATCTACGTCAAATTAGACTTTTAAAAATGTTAATATCAAGTTAATACTCAATTCTTATATAACATAAAATCTATTTTTATTTATATCTAAGTATTAAATTATTAAAAATTAAATCTTTAAACAAGCTTATAAGATCAACTTAGGCCTTTAAAAATGACTTAAAACTAGTAAACAAGTCAAATCAAATTGTGTATTTTAAATCAAGGTCAAATCCAAATAGAAAAATCTAGCTTAATTCAATATATTTCCACCCCTAATTTTAAATGACCTCGTAGAGGAGATTACATACCACCAAAACTTGGGTTTCAACTTGCAAAACTATGCACCGTTGATGACAACTACTCCATTCCCCCAACGAAAAAGTGGACCGTGCCATCTACTAGTTTATCCTTGATACAACCTTTCACATCTAAGATATGCACGATTTGGAGACAAATACAAATCCGGTTGTTACTGTTTTCCAAATAGAATTAAGTTTAATCTCAATAATATTCATTTACATTTAATGTGAATAAGTTTAATCTCAATAATATTCATTTACATTTAATGCAAACTTATTATGTATATTATCAAGATAAAACACCAATTTTGATTGGAAAAAACAACCACCATACAGCACCTAAGCTTTATCATCGAATAATTGCACAAGGTATAATTTTATCGAGAAGGTATTCCGAGCTATGCAGGAAATGCTTTGAAATTGAGATAAGAAACTTCATAACTTAAAAAAGAATAACACAAGCCAGGCGCAACTCCGTCCTTAAACTAAAAGAGCATAAACAAAATATAAAATACAAATTGTAGATGAACAACTTAAAAGTCAAATAAAACTAACAAGGTCTAAACAAACAAAAGATTCGTCAAAAATACAATAAGCTCAGTAACTCAGGATGCCATTGCTGGCCAAATTAAAAGATTCAATGCCCTTCCGATCTCCAAAAATGTCACTTCTTTGATTTCTTTGATGCTCTGCACAAAGCACATTCATTTAGACCACAACATGGCCAACAAAGAAAACATGATATTTAAGCATATAAATGAACCACAATACTCACTGGGCTGGCTGGGAAGCTGTGGCAGATGGAGCACTTGGGGCCGCTGATGGCTTCTCTCCAGGACCCTAAACATTCAAGAGAGAAAAGGTCAAATTTCTCAAAACCAACTTCAGTGACAAATCTTTCTTAGTACTGTAAATTGCCATGCAGAGCAACTAAAAAATACAAATTCATCTATATATTCATAATAGATTCTCAAATCATTAGAAAACTCACTTGAGCCAATCGCTCTTCCCTCCGAGCAATTTTCCTTTCCCTGCTTGCCTTGTTCTTTGCCCTCTTGGCCTCAAACTGGTCAGATAAAGTCTTCTCTCTTGCCTTCTCAGCCTTTGACTTGTGTATGCTCTCCATCAAGACTCTCTTGTTTTTGAACACATTACCCTTTACCTTCATGTACATATCATGGTACATATGCTTGTCAATCTTCTTCGCTTCCCTGTATTTGCGAAGCAAACGTCGGAGGACACGCATCCTCCTCATCCAAAGAATTTTGGTGGGGAGCCTTGCCTCTCTTGTACCCTTACGCTTACCTAATTGTATTTACAAAAAAAATATTAATGTTTTTTGCTAGCACCATGTAGCAAATTAGCAATTCATGTCATGCCCGCATAGCAATATTCAGAGTTTAATTCCTAAGCAAAGTTAGTATAAAATATTTTATCCTGTCAATCAATCACAAATAGAGTATCAGAAACTATAATAGGTGTCCACAAACATATCATACATGACAAGTTGTGATTGGGTAACAATGTAACATGGACTATTTACTCTATAATCTATTTATATCCAATTTTAGGAACTGTTAGGATAAACTTCTCCATAAACACATCTGAAAAAAAAAATGAAAATAGTTTTTCCACAAGTAAATTAATTTATACATAAATTGAAAAGCATAGTTTAGAAAATCCACTATGTGCATAAACTAAATTAAACTTTTGAACAGGCTTTTTTTATTTTTTCTTATTTTCTTCTCCTACAAAGGCTTAAGGAGAAGTTTACACGAACGGGCTCTTGGTCTCTACTTCCAGAATAGCCTGTTCACCCTAAACAACGAACACATCTATACAATGGTCTTTCCAATTGAAATGCAACTGAATTTAACCTTAGGAATCCTACAATGTATACATGTTTAAGGAGCATCAATTGATTTGCATAAACCCACTTGAGGCGAAAAATAGTAAAATACCATATCCAGAGTGGCGTCCCTTCCTCTTGGCCTCCTTCATACGGCGAGCACGGGAGCGGGAGTGAATCTTAGTTGGCTTCCTGATAATGAACCCATCCTTAACCAATTTCCTTATGTTTTGACCTGCAAAAGGAAACCCCACCAAATTATGAACCCAATTCGCAAACAATATAAAACTACCAAAACATTCACAGTATGACTAGCCTTGCACCACAAATGTTCGAAGAAAAAATACATCAGAAACTTCAATTGTTAGGTACACTAAAAAATTCATACATTCAGAATTTCAAATACATGAGAAATGATGCAAAATTCATTAAATTGAGAGACAAATAATAGCGTAGGTGAAGTGAAAAGCGTACGAGAATTGGCCATGGAGATTTCATTGACTTCGTTAGGGTCAAGCCAAACCTTGCCTCTTCCACATTTGAGAACGCTAGCGGCAAGCCGCTTCTGAAGCTTCAGAGACACCATCTCTCTCTCTCTCTCTCTCTCTCTCTCTCTCTCTCTCTCTCTCTCTCTCTCTCTCTCTCTCTCTCTCTCTCTCTCTCTCTCTCTCTCTCTCTCTCTCTCTCTCTCTCTCGCGTAAAAGGAGAAAGGAGAACGGAGGCACGAACGATATATAGTCCCCTCGTCTCTTCCAAAACCCTAGGGTTTTTTTTTTTTATTATTTATAATTTTGTGCGTGCAGCACAAGGTATTTTAATTTGACCATTTACTGGGCCTTATTGACAATGCTTATACGCAATATTGGGTTTGACATTATGCACCGCGGTCCATTCACGAATACTGCTCCTTTTTAGATAAGCTTTTATAAATTATAGCTTCTACAAAAAATATCATTTTATTTATAATACTAAATCAAATTGTTTAACTTTTTTTCTCAATGGAAAATCAAATAAAACGTATGATGGGCTCAAATAGGAATAAGTTCAGAAAACATTCATTGGAAGGACAAAAATAAACCAAGTTTAAAATATATAATTATATTAATAAACTGTAGAATTATATTTTTTTATGAAAAGTTATGAATAAAATTATTAAAAAAAATATTTAGAGAGCCATTTATTCCTTTAGAGTCATCTATATGAATAAACACAAATATAACT